TATGCTAGATAATGTGCTTTTCTGTGTCAGTGTTTGTATTTTAAGTCTTCTCTTGCCAATTCCCAGGCAAGGTCAAAATGGCTAAAGCTGATCTAAACAGAGGGTATAAAGTAATTTGACCTATCTCTACTTAATATCAGATAGAGTGAGTTAATTCCTCTTGCATCCAGTGGGTATGTAATGTACAATGGATGGCTTTAGAGTCATTACATCATCTGGTATGAACATCTGTGTATCACAGATCCTTAAATTTCACCCATTTACCACATTGTTGAGCCTAGTCACTTGTTAGCCTAACTCACATATTCCAGGACAGCCTTGATTTGAAGACTCCAAGGAACTGAGAACCCATTTCTCTGGTAGTTTGTTCCAGTGGTTAATCCCTTTCAGTGTTTCAGATTTGTGCCTAATTTGAATTTGTCTGGTTTCAGCTCCAGCCATTAGTTCTTTTTATGCCTTTCCTTGCTAATTAAAGAGCCCTTTAGCATAAGATGTTTTCTCCTCCTGAAGTTACTTGAAACGGTAATCAAGATCACCTCTCCATTGTCTTTTTCATGAAGTAAACAGATTGAGCTTTAAAGCTGAAAGCTCAGGAAGTAAGAACGTTATAATTAGCTGAATGGCAAGAAGACTTCTAGGTTTTTGAAACTGAAACAAATTTTGTTTGAGAGTTGAAGCTGCCTTTGTGGGGTAATATTACTCTTCACTTCAGCCATTTCATTTCTCCCTTTAGTGACAAAACCTTTCTGGAAGAACTACTACAGAAAGTCATTGAAGCTTTGATAAAGAATTTTTTGGAGCCCAGTAAGAACGGACTGATCTGGCGCTCCGTATAGATCTCCAACCGTTTGTTATAGAAGTGACTCTCCTTGCGCTGTATCATGTGGAACAAAAGAACCAAGATCAGAACTCTATTTAGCATTAAGTGTGTGTGTGTCAGTTACCTGATTAAATTTTTATAACCAATAAAGAGGCAGCATCTTTTTGTCAGTTTTCCACCACAAAGCTATGGCTGACAGATTGATTTGGGGGAGTTAATATCTACAATTTCATGTTCTTTTGATCCAAAGGCACATGTACATTAGCATAGTGTAGTCAACTCCCATAGTTCAAAATGTAGCACTCCAAAGGATTAAGACTGCTAAATTTGGCTGTAGCATAAATCACTGGGTTTCATATTCAATGAACATACCTAGCACCTTTTGGTTTGAAGAGACTTGAATTCAAAAAGTTCTGTTAATCAGAAGTGTATTTGAAGGGAATTAGTAATCCCATAAAACTGACAAAATGAGCCAGCGTCTTCATTGCCATAGAGTGTGTAGGTACCATTTACTGTTACAAGTCTTAATTTACAAGTATGTTAAAATAGTGTTTAGTATTCAACATTTCTAATTCAGACAAGTTGTTACAGAATATGGTTTTCAGACATTTAAATATCCTATTATGAGAGGGGCTCGTGGCGCGTTGTATTTTTTCCAGTGTATCTTAAAATATTGATGTTTACTTAACGGTGAAACAATAGTGGCAAACTCCATGCAATTTGATTTGCAGCTTGGTTTTTGACTGATCAAAGCGTGCCTTTCTAGACAGACCTATCCAGAGGAAATAATCTGTGTCTTGTTTAAATTGATTCTAACCACCAGAGGCCCACTGAGTCTGGTTTAAATCAGTTATCTTTCATTCACCATATAAAAATCTCCCACAATATTCTGGATCTTATTTTAAATTCTCAAATTAAAACATCTAAAAGCAGGCTGTTCTAAAATATAGATGCATTGTGAATGCATTGTTGGGACACTATGTGACAATCCAGTTAATATAGATCGATCTACGGAGGCTAATGAGGGCGACCGAAATTGCAAATCAAGCCCGGGATTTAAATATCCCGGGCTTGATTTGCATGTTCCCGGCCTGTCGCCATTTTAGAAATTAACTAGCCCGAAGTAACTGCCCACGTCTACACGCAGCAGTGAAATGGGATCCGATTTAAAGCCCTAACTCGAATTAGCTGGTATTCCTCCTGCAATGAGGTTTACCAGCTAATTCGATGTAGGGGCTTTAAATCGGAATCCCGTTTCACTGCCGCATGTAGACGCGGGCAGTTACTTCAGGCTAGTCAGTTTCTAAAATGGTGACAGGCCGGGAACATGCAAATCGAGCCCGGGATATTTAAATCCCGGGCTTGATTTGCAATTTCGGTCGCCCTCATTAGCCTCCGTAGATCGATCTAGGGGGCTAATGTAGACGTACCCTAACATCTTGAAATTATAGTGTCCATGTTCTCTGCTCACTTATGAGAGTGGAAGCTAATAGAGGTGGGACTTGGGGCTGTGTATTCACCTCTTTACTTTCACTCTTTCTGTGCCTAAAGTTGCATCTTCAGATTAGTTCTTGATGTTTCCTGCCTGCAAATACTTGATCCTTCCTCTAAATTCACTTTAATGATTGATCTGTTAGTGTAAGTTTCCAGCTATTCTTAACTAGTTGCTTACTCTGCTTTGACTAGAACCTGGTTTTCTTAATGTGGAAGGTTTTTGGAAGCTGTTACACTTTTCCCAGAACAGGTGCTATTTTAAAAAGCATACTGTTTACCATCTTCTAGATGCTCATGTCCCTGGGTGCAGAATTAATGCTTTGCACGGTCTTGCTAAACTGGTGATAGAAACTTCTAAAATAAATGTGTTGCTCTGGACATCTAGCCACTATGGTACTAAAATAAGTAAGTAGAACAATTGAATACACAACTACATACTATGGTGTCTAATGCCTAAACATGGTTATAGGACTCTAGTAATACCTTTTTTTGATTAATCAGCTCTAAATCAGTATTTAGATGAGTTCCCATAACCCAAGAGGCACTTAAGTTTAAACCATTGTGTGCCACTATTGTTAAACCTTTGACTTTGTCATCTACTTCATTATACCCTTATAGCTAGTTCTGTAGGAAAGTGCAGAGCAATGCTGCACATAACTCAGCTAGGCAGATAAAAAGGACATGTTTTCTGTTTGTGCCGATATTGGACATGTCATGCTGACAGAGGCTTTGCACTAGGACCATAAGTAAGTATTTTAGTTGTATATGAATGTACATGTATTGTAGGAAGTTGTCTACCGCACAAATTCTTATTTACAAGCAATATTTATTTATTTTATTTTAAGTGAGATTTCCAAATTGTCCACATAATTGAGTGAAATTTCTCTTATGCCAAAAAGGTCCTTTCCCTTGATTGTGTTTGAATGCAATGATAGGGAGGGGTGGAAAATGGTTGAAAGCAATGAAGCTTCATTGCTTTCACAATATTGCACAGCATTAGAAGATATCCAAAGACATATGGGGCAAGTCTATTTAAGTTGCTGCTTGGACTTTGCATGGGGTTTTTTTCCTGATGGAAATTAAACTTTAGCCCTGATTCTGGTCCCACTAAGAAGCATTGTCATTAATTTCATTGGCAGCAGGATCAAGTCCTTGGGGTTTTGAATTTTTTTGTAATTCAGAAGAGAACAATTCATTTTTTTTGTGCGTAGTTTGAACAGAGCTAAACATTGCAAAAGGCGTATAGAGTTCTGTATGTGGATAGGTCAGTGCTGCGTGCGGTGTAGCATGTAGAGTTGTCTAAGGCTTTCAGATCAGCTTTCTTAGCAGCTGGTTAGCTGAGCCTGGTCTGAATCAAATCCAGAATTAGGGTGTAAATCTTTACATGCATGCCAGAACTTTGAGTATGCTTTTGAGACTTGACGAATCTAGTGGAGCTGAGAATCTGGGTTTCTTAAGGTAATGGTTAGGTCCCTACTTCTGAAGCAATACTTCATGGATGACATGCTTTTTGGAAGGTGGATAAGTGGTGCACCAGAATGATTGCCTGTATTCTAAGGGTGTAATAATTACTGCTGTTTAATCTGCTGCTACCATTGTTTTCCACTGATGTGTCTAATGCTTGAAGTATCCCTACTATTCCATTTGGAGAAGCAGTTTCCTTTCCTCTCTCTGCCTTCCCTACTTTTGTAATGTTGAAGATGATCATCTGGTTACCTCATGGCTAAGTAACTTTTTGCTGTACCTATTGCCTCAGCACTTTGGAATTGTGCACAGTCTTGTTTCAGTTATGAGTGTTTTTAATAGTTTTGTCTTCATTGTAGAAATATTTGAACTCTGTGGGGAAAGGTATAATTCTAAACCGACCAGCTTCTTTTTTTTTTTTTTGTCTGGATGTTTACTGACTTACGGCGCTTCCTGTTTATAAGATGCATTTTTAAAGGCTGGAGCGATTCATCAGGTCTGACAGAGCCAGTGATTAATTGAGTCTGGGATTTGATTAGTTTCATTTGTTTGTGGAAGTGGTTACCCCCCCTCCCCTTCCGCTGAATACAGAGGCCTAATCTCTGTCCCATTCAAGTCTGTGGCAGAACTTCCATGGGACTAGGATATGATCCTTTAAAATAAGCATAAGTCATTTGTCAGGCAAATTGAGGC